GTTCGGATCCCACATATGAGGGCCAGTGACACTGCCCTCTACAGCTAAGATGCTGAACAACAGCTCGACCTGGAGCTGGGCTGCTGTGGGTCGCCGGTGACGGCGTAGGCTGCAGTCCCCTGCTTCAGTGGGTTGCCATAAGCTACCATGTGTAGCCATAAGCTACCATGTGTAGCCGGCAGCCAGCATGAGTGGCCAGCAGCCGCTGTGAGCGGCCGTCCAGAGGCCAGCGACTGATCTGCCTCGCCTGGGAAGAGCGCAACGATGGTGGCAGCTTGGGCCAGTGAAGCAACGTCCTCCACAACCAGACTGAAGAAAAAACAACAGCAACTTGTCTGTTCTCCTTCCCCCATCTTCCCAGCGCTGTTTCCCTCCCCCAATTCCCCAATAAAATCTTAAAACAAAACAAAAAAAGAACAACAAAAAAAATGACAGGGCTGGCCGAGTGGCTCAGTTGGTTAAGAGCTCTCTCAAGAGTGCGAGCTCTGAGCAACAGCGGTTCGAGTCCCAGCCCAAGCTGAGCTGCTGCTGAGCTGCCAACAGGTGGCAGAATGCCTCAGCTAAAAAAAAAAAGAAAAAAGAAAAAAAGACACTAGGCCACCCCTGTGGTTAAGAGATAGCTTAAGAGTGTGAGCTCTGAGCAACAGGACCACTGGTTTGATTCCCACATGGGCTAGTGATGCTGTGCCGGAGCTGAGCTGTCACTGAGCTGCCAATAGGTGGCAGGATGGCTCACCTGGTGAGAGCACGTCCTCCTAACAATAAGACTGCCTGTTCGATGGTAGGCTATGCCTGCCCGCAACTAAGACTGAACTCGGCATCTTGAGCTGAGCTGCCACCCGGATGGCTCAGTGGATATAGCGTGTGCTCTTAACAACAAGGCTGCGGTTTGACTCCTGCATGGGATGGTGGCTATGCTCACCCGCAACTAAGACTGAACTCAGCACTTTGAGCTGAGCTGCTGCCCAGATGGCTCAGTGGATAGAGCATGTGCTCTTAACAAGGCTGCGGGTTCGACTCCCGCATGGGATGGGGGCTACGCCCACCTGCAACTAAGATTGTAACACAGCACCTTGAGCTTAGAGGCCACGAGCTGCCGACGGGTAGCCAGATGGCGACTGGCGCCCTCCACAACTAAGACTGAAGAACAACAATTTGGCTGGTCCCCTCCCCCAACCCCCCAATTAAAAAAAAATGGCACTAAAAAAAAAAACCCATTAAAATGATATGGGATTAGACTAGTTCATTCTAAACCTGGTACTTTAGAGAAGGTGGATAAATAAAAATCCTGTTACCGCAAAGACTCTTTGACAGCTTATAAAATTGAATTGTAGGGAGAATAAATTAACTAAAGTTCTGTGTAAATACTGCTCAATTCCAGTGAAAGCAAAGGGTCATTATTTGGTTGCCAATCGAAGTCTTTAAAGAATATTTCTATACTCTAATCTAAAAGTTCAATTTTTACAACGTTGGTTTCTAATAAATAAACTACTTTTTAATAAACCAGGGATTATGAAACAAGCTTTAAACATAAAGTGAAATCCATATTGAAATGTGAAT